GAAAAAAAAAAAACAGAAAAAAGAAAGTATAAGTTATAACTTGAGAAAATAAATCACGAAATAAATTCGAACACTAATCGACAATTAAAATTTTCTATCGATTAAATAAAAGATCAAACTGACAAAAAGATTTAACTTATACGTCACGTTATAGAGGGTTAATAAAATAAAGAAAAGATAAGAAAAGAAAAGAAAAGTAAAAAGAAAAAAAGAACAAGAAAAAGAGAGAGAGAATGAAAAGAAAAACAAAAACAAAATGCAAATTCGATGAAACTATTCAACGACAATTAAAAAAAATGAAGAAAAGGAGAATAGTATCGGTCGGGGAATTAAAGTAGATGATTATGACAAAAGAAAAAAAAAAGAAAAATCGAGGATCTCGAATTTAATTAAATTCATTAAATCGATTAACGTCAACGATCACAACGGATCACGATAGATCGTCGATCGATATATTCCATAGATTGGATGGTTAATTAAAAGAAAAAAAAAAAAAAAACAAGAATAATAAAAGAGAGAAAAGAAAAAGAAGGATAAAAAAAATCGTGAATAGAATTTAATTAAATTTATTATATTTAATTAATTAATATCGAGATCACGATATGTATAACGATCGATCGAGATATATTTCATAGATCAGATCCTCGTTCATTGTTTTCCTACTCTCTCTTAACGCTTTTTATCGGATACGTCTTTCCAACGTATCGTTGGTATTCGATCTCGCGATCTTTCGCATATATTACTATTACTATTACTATTACTATTACTATTACTATTACTACTATATTTAGTACTACTATTATTACATAGCACTAATATTACTACTACTATTACTACTTACTACTATTATTATTACTATTATACTATTATAGCTCTTTACCTGAAAGCGGTGCGATACTTGAACGTCGGTATTCGATCGAATTTAAAAAATTAGGATCGTTGAAAGGATTATTATAATTGGTCCTATAAAAAGAAAAAAAAAATAAAATAAAATAAAAAAGAAATGAAACGTTGCCGACATTTTACATATATGTATATATATATATATATATATGTATATATATATATATATATGTATATATATATATATATATATATATATATTTCATTATATATATATATATATTTCATATATTTCATTTCAATCGTAAACGTATTTATGTGAAAACGAGCAACAAATTTATTATTAATTCTCTCTCTCTCTCTATCTTTTTATCTCTCTCTCTCTCTCTCTCTCTCTCTCTCTCTCTTTCTTTATCTTTTTACCTTCTCTCTCTCTCTCTCTCTCTCTCTCTCTCTCTCTCTCTCTCTCTCTCTTTCTGTCTGTCTCTCTCTCTCTCTCTTTCTATAATTTCTCGCTTCATAAAGCGAGAAAAATCTAATGAATTATTCTAAATTCCTTGTTCGACATTTCACAATTCATACGTTGTCTCCTATGAGAGTGTAAGCAATAAAAAGAAATTAAGAGAACGGAAGTTAGAAAAAAGGAATAAAGTAATGAAGGAAAAAGAAAAAAAAGAAAATGAGAGAATGAAAAAGAAGAAAAAGTATATAATAATAATAATAATAATAATAATAATAATAATAATAATAATAATAATAATAATGATAATGATAATGATAATGATAATAATAATAATGATAATAATTATAATAATAATAATAATAATGATTATAGTCGGTACGGTTCAATAAAAATTGACCGAGCAAAGAGAAAGATTTCGTTGTCTCGACGAAGGTACACAATTTATATACATACATACATACATACATACATATATACATATATTTATATACATATATGTATATATATATATATATATATATGATATGTAATATATATTTTTCTTTGTTATTCTCTTTTCTTTTTTCTATTGGTTAAAATTTAAATTAAATTAAATTACATTGAATTAAACTATTCTTTGTCGTTTTCTTCTGCGTTCGGGCCAATACGAAAAATTGGAGAAAGAAAGAAGAAGAAAGGAAAAAGAAAATGAAGGAAAAAAAAATATAATAAGGAAAGAAAAAAAAAGAAGAAGATAATAATAATAATAATAATAATAATAATAATAATAATAATAATAATAATAATAATAATAATAATAATATCGTAGAAAAGTTGTGTGCGTGTGTGTAATCTTTTCGTTTTCGTTTTCGTTTTGTGTCTCGTCGACGAAAATGAATACGTTTATAAGAATGCAATAATTCATTAATTATTTTATTTAATGATTAAACAATCAATTAATTCACTGTTATTATTATCATTGTTATTATTATTATTATTATTATTATTATTATTATTATTATTATTATTATTATTATTATTATTATTATTATTATTATTATTATTATTATTATTATTACTATTTTTATTATTATTATTATTATTATTAATATTATTATTATTATTATTATTATTATTATTATTATTATTATTATTATTATTATTATTATGCGGATTATTACCGAAGTATAATTATATTTTACATACATAACTAATATTTATATATATATATATATATATATATATATATATGTATATATATATATACTCCTGTTTAGAAATTCGTTGTTTATTTGAAATAATTCGAAAGAATAGAACACAGTTACAATATGATACATATTACAAGAATACTTGTAACATTAATCCGACATTTCCGTATATAATGTATTGTAATCATGATCCTCCTTCAATTATCATAATCACTGATTATCATTATTGATCATTGATCGTCACGCATCATTATTATTATCATCATCGTTGATCGATTATTCGGTTATTATTATAATTATTATAACCAATGAATGAATGGAATGATAGAATGAATGAATGAATTAATGAATTAATTAATTAATTCATCGTAACTCATCGTCGTACAATAATCATCGAAAATATTTTGTCGATTAGAATCACCGTCCCAATTAGTATATATAGCCGAGCCGTCAAAATGATTTTTTTATTGGCATGCGAGTTAGGTACGTTTCATGCGTTATCTTCTTTGCGAGATACGCTTGCATCATTTTTGGTATTGCGAAAAGCGAGAGAAAAAGATATAGAGAAAGAAACAAAAAAAAAAAAAAAAAAACAAAAAAAAAATAAATAAAGAAAAAAAGAAAAAAAAAGAAAAAAGTGAGAAAAGGAAAAAAACCACACATTCAACAATTATTATTACAAAAGAATTTATGTCAACGTTAATAATAATAACAGTGCATATATGGGGGTTCGCATATAATCGAAATGGATTATCATTCGTAACAAAAAAGAAAAAAAAAAAAAAAAAAAGAAAAAAAAGAAAAAGAAAAGAAGAAAAGAAAAGAAAAAATTATTCTCTTCTTTTTTTCTCTTTTCTTTTTTCTTCGATTCCGACGAAATCAAAAAAAAATAAAAAAAAAAATAAATAAATAAATTAATAAATAAATAAAAAAAAATAAAAAAAAGATAAAAAGAAATAAAAAAGATCGAAATCGAACCGAAGACATAAATAAATAATAAATAAAGAAATAGATAATATAATTAATTAAATTAATCGATCGATCAATCAATGAATCAATCAATCGATAAATAAATAAATAAATAAATAAATAAATAAATAAATAAATAAATAAATATAAACAAAATGGAGGACGCTGCGTTTCTTCGATCGTACGAGACAACAGGAAAGTTCATCACTGCGATTGGGACCAAATCTCGATCATCATAATAAACACGCGAACACATAAAATGGAGATAATTAGCATGGAGGAGATAGAGCAACAACAAAAAAAAAATAAAAATAAAAAAATAAGAAAGAACAAAATAATAACGAAACAAAAAAAAAAGAAAGCAAGAGAGAAGAAAGAGAGGAGGGGAAGAAAGAGAGAGAGAGAGAAAGAGAGAGAGAGAGAGAGAGAGAAATACAAATAATAAGGCATGCTTCTTTTCATGTTATTATTATTGTTATTATTAACATTGTTTATTAATTCGATCGTTCGAACTTAACTATCTTTAAGTTCCTTCCAAATAAATATATAAATATATATATATATAAATAAATAAATAAATAAATAAATAAATAAATAAATACTAAGTACGTCCGAGTCGATCCTAAAATCGATCCTCGAGAGATCGATCGATCTCTATGATCTATGACAAGAAAGATAGAGATGAAAGGTAAATGAATAAATAAATGAATAAATAAATGAATAAATAGATGAATAAATGAGAGGGGAAAAAGGACAAAAAAGAAAAAAGGAAATAAAAGAAAAAAAAAAGGATGTTAAACAACCAAAAAAAAAAAAAGGAAAAGAAAAAGAAAAAAAGAAAAAATGACGGAAGGTGGCGAAGCTATAGAAAGTCGTTATTTTTCTCGCTCGGAATTTTCCGACGTCGCGCGTTCGTACGATCTTACGTCGTTCTATGTCTATGTACTTGCATAAAGGATTAATAAAAAAAAAAAACAAAAAAAAAAACAAAAACAAAAACAAAAAAAAAACAAAAACAGAAAAGAACAAAAAAAGAACAAAAAAAGAAGAAGAAGAAGAGGAAGAAGAAACAAAAAAAAAAAAAAAAGCATAAATATACGAAGTATGCATGTGCATATACTTATAGCGCAGGGACATTTATTCCGTAAGAGAGTCCAAATGTTGAGACAACGCGGTCGTCGATTCCGGCTGGTTATACGTTATACACATAATATATAATATACATGTGTGTGTATATGTATATATATATATATGTATGTATGTATGTATGTATATACATTATATATATATATATATAAACATATATATGTATATTTATCGAAGTTAAAGATATGAAAAATTTTAGTAACGTTGGAACGATGCTTCGTATATATTGCAAGAGCAAACGAAATAATAATAATAATAATAATAATAATAATAATAATAATAATAATAATAATAATAATAATTAATAATAATAATAATTAATAATAATAATTAATAACAATTAAGAGAACGAAAATATGACAAAGAGAAAAAAGGAAAGTAGGAGAATGGAG